TATCCGCGGCAGTACTGCAGAGTAACTGGCTTACTCACAAAGCCAACTTTCTTACACATGTAGAGTGATTAATGTTTCAAAGTAAAAAGCAAAGTTGGATTCGTTTCTCTAAAAGTATTTTTTTAATGTAAAACAAAACTCCACAACATTAGATAGCATGCGGACAACAGTTCATGCTATTAAGATAGCGTGACTTAGAAAAGCACATCTTTAGAGGAAACGGAGAGCTGGCGAGATAGCTCGGTGGACTAAGGGCCCGCTCAGGCAAGCGCAGCGAGCCAGGGGCCAATGCCAGGACCACAGGCTGCGCTGGCCACGAGAGCGGGCATGGTGGCACACGCCTGCAACTTCAGTGCTGGGAGGCTAAAAACAGGAGGCTCACTATGAGTCCAAGTGCACAGTGAGACCCTGTAGCAGGTGGAGAGAGGGGAGGAAGGGAGGGAGGGGGGGAGAGAGAAAGAGAGAGAGAGAGAGAGAGAGAGAGAGAGAGAGAATGGGATTAACAAAAGATTTAATGAATCTTCAGACAGCTGAGCAACTTAACACTAAATAGCCCATATTACCAGAGGTACCTCCCTCAACAGCAGCCCTGGGGAATACAATGGGAAAATGTGGAAGGAAACAGAGACGGAAGAGGAGCAGGGAGCACACGGCAGGACAGCACGCCTGCATCCACGAGGCCTCGGAGCACAGAGAGGCGAGGGTCCTGCTCAGCGGAGGCCCTGAGAATGAGGAGGACGCGCAGCCAGTGCCAATCCTGGGCCCAGCAGAGACAAAAATCGCACACACACACACACACACACACACACACGGCTCCTTAACTTCTTCATGATTAAAAGCCACATATTAATCTTGCTAAAACTTGTGATGATCAAAATTAAAATAAATATCCTGCATTCAGATACAAGAAAAATTACTATTTTTCATTGGAAAATGAATAATAGTGTATGTACTCTCTGCACAAGCACCTAAATATTGTTATAAGGGATCGTAACAGTAATACTCAGGGAAAATGTAAATAAAATATATTACGACTATATAAAAAAAGACACAGATAAACTTATTAAAACAGTAACTGAAACTGCCACAACATTCAACATTTATCTTTATCCTAATTTATTTTGAAGTTGTATTTTCTTTTGTACACTATGTCAGCATAATTTAAAAATAATTTCCGTTTTTTGGCTGCATGCTAGGCAGTTGCTGTCTATCGCCGGTCCCCCAAGATACAATTTGAAGGGGAATATAAAGGAATAAACATTCAATCACTCTCACCTTTAATTTTATTACTTAAAGAAACAATTCTATTTC